CATTATCCTCCCTTGTATTTATCCATATGTTGTAGTTATCCTAATCATTATAGGATTAGGATAATCATCCCCTTTATTTGTAGCAATCCTTATCTCCTAAGGAATATGCTTTATTCTCTTGTATGTATATATATATGTGTAACCACGTGATTAATAATACAATGAGAGTTACAACCTTCTTCTTTATTCTTTAACAATTATAAGTTTATTTGCTCAAAAAAGTATTATAAGTTTATAAATTTCTATGATACCTTTCTTTCGTGAATCTAGTGCATCTATGGGAAACCCCAAATGGAGGGCTCGATCCTTTTTAATGCTTACGATTTTGAGTATCATAAATTCGATCGATATCACTCGTCCATACAGTACCATATTCCATATTTCACATTGATGATTATATATATTTTTGTTTTTGTGTTCTGAATTTCTTGGCTTTTGACTGATAATAAGGTGCTTTGGGAATCATCAAAAAAAAATAAAGAAATACTATTAAGGATTTACAGCAGGCGAGAGAGGAACGGCCGACTTGGTTATACATCCTAATCTTATTTCCTCCGACTTCTCCTAATGTTAAGCATTAATTGTTGTCCTTTATTTTAAAATTCCAAATAAATTTCCTTGATTATCTTTCCTTAATCCCAAAAGATTAAAAATCAAAATTAATTGATAGTATATCTTATCGAGATCCCGTTTCGACGAATTAAATTCTCTTCTGCTTCGTTTTGGGTGCGTGTATAAGAGAACAAAAGTTCGCGTAACGTTCATCCTTCAGCGTCAGAGAAGAAAACTCCTTTGCTTATGCATGGATACAGGTAATTAATTCATCGATTTATTTCTTTTAAATTACTGCATCATGTTTTTTTTTTCTTATTTTAATCTTCACATTCAATCTGTTTCGTGTTTGATAGTTATTTTATTTGATTGATGGTACACGATTGGCTTGTAAACAGAATAGGGTTCGTTGAAATCATTTTTTATATCAATCTCTTTTGTTCTTATGTCAATCTCAATCATTCGTTACTACTTTAGAAACGTTAATATCTAAGTATAAACAACATAGGACCCTTCGTTAGTTTTTCCTTTATTCCTTGAACTTGGTTTTAGATCGTTGTTTGAATCTTGGGAAAGATAGTGGCAGAGAAACCCAAAAAAAATATGGGAAAATATATTCGTGGGAAGTCGGCTTCGTTTTTCTTTGGAATAAAGGTACGCGTAGTTTGTTCGATTTGACCAATGTGTTTATGATTTTTTTATTTAACTCAGATTATAAACGTGTAGCTTTTTTGTTTTTATTATAACGTTTATAAAACTTGGCAACAGATTTTGGCTGTTTTAGCTTCTCATTTAGTTTTACCGTTTATTAGTAGTTTAAAACAATTGTTAGTCTATAGACGTTTTAAAATCATTAGTCTTAGTTCTTACTACTGATCATATATTTCTACTTCTTGTTTAAACTAATCTATTTCTTTATAAAATTAGAATGTATTGTATTTTAAAATTGTTAAAAATTCATTTTTTATCCTTTTGAATAACCAATAAATTTTTATTTAAATCATTTTTATTTAATTAATCATAAATGGGGACATGTTCGTATATTTTACAAGTTTCTTAATTGACATGAGATATGTCAAAGTTACACTTTCTGTGGAGTATCATTTAAGGTTTTAATTTTATGAAGTTATTCTTGTTATTTTGTGGTAAAAAAATATTTTAATTTCTGCATCATCTTTCTGGTCTAATCAAATGTTGGATTTATATTTTTTTTTTTCTTCCAGTTGACCCTGACAAGCTACAAATGAATGATTATAGATTTTAAGTTGTGCAATAAAACCTTTTTTTAAAAATATTAAGAATTTTGATTACTTTCATTAGCTAGTGAGATATAGCTACATTGTTTCTAGAACATATAGTTTACATTTTTCTTTTTTTGAAACACAACATATAGTTTACATTTAAATAAATAATTTATAGATGAATTCTCTGAGTGATATATAGGAGCATAAAAAGATATAAAAGAAAACTTTGCTAAAAATATATATTGGAGCATATATCAATTATGCTATTTTGAAGCAATTATCAGTTTTGTACGGTCTTGTAAATTTTTTTTTTTTTTTTTAAGTTTCGAAATATACTATATATTATACTATGTTGTATACGTTTTTGGACATTTACTCATTTGTTAACGAGGAATTTGTTTCATTGGATAGAAAAAAGGTGTGGATTAGATATACATAATTTATAAGAAACCTCTAGAAGCTTTTATCGATTAGGAACTGGTTTTATAATTTGGTAATGATGACATACATATTCGCTGAATCTGTAAGCAGAACAGCCTATTTTGGGGTCTATTGTGGTCTAATATACATTTCATTATTTTTTTCCATTAACCGAAAAAAAAGAAACATTGAATGACACAGATTCTCAATAATACCTCAGAGAGACCATCCCTTCGATGATGTCACCACCTTCACATAGCTGTCTTCCTATTTAAAATCTCCTCATGCAACTCTAACATCTCATTAACTAAAATAAAAAAAACAAAACCCACTTTGTTTGGGTTTGTATTTTATTTATTTATTTATTTACTTCCTCCTCCTACTCATCAACATACAATGGCTTCCACTTCTTCTTGTGATCAGTCTCTTCCCATCAACACCCATCAAACCTCACCTTTCGTGACGTCATCCATGCTTTCCCGCACGTCATCTTCTTCCTCAGCCGTTGGAGACTACATCGGGACAGAGAGCTGCTTCGACGTCCTCTCCGCGGATGAAGAAAACGACATCATCTCCACCGCCTCCGAGAGTTTGAGCCGTTATCGCTACGGAGGAAGGAGGAGGGAGGAAAGAGAAGCAAGAGCTGCGGCGGCGCGTGAGTTTCCTCCGCCGATACCGTTGCTTGCTCAGACGGAGAATCTTCTCCCGCACATGCCTTGGGTTCTGAAGCGTGTGGTGACGAGCGACGGGAGGCTTATACTTAGAGAAGAGAAGGTTCGTCATCACGAGTACTTCCGTGCGCATAGATCCAATGGTCGTCTCACTCTCCACCTTGTCCCTCTTGACGACGACGTTTTCGAACTTCCCCAAGAGCCCACCACCTCTCATTACCAACCTGATGATGATGATCACGAGTGTGATGGTGATGATGTTGATGATCATCACGAGGTGGATGATCTGGCGGATAATGTTGACAAGAGTGTTATTATTACTGTCCGTGATGAGGATGATGGTGTTGTACATAATCATGATGATGATAAGGATAATGTGCATGGTGCTAGTGATGATGGATATATGAAATCTATATTAGCGGAGGAGGCGGTGGTGGAGAGTGCAAGTATGGTCGGAGGAGGAGGAGGATCACCGAGAGGGAAGTGTTTGAAGTCATGTTTTGTTGGTATGAGAGCTCAAGAGATCAGACCAGTCCTTAGTTGATTAATTATTCTTGTTAATTAGTCTCTTTTTGTACAAGCATTACCGTGGCAGAGAGTTTGAAGAAACAACCGGCTTAGATTATAGTATGAATAATGAGAGGGTTTTCTCATCAAATAATTATTTTGTTTCGTGTTTTGTAATTTTCAGAGTGTAATCTATCTTCATTGAGGGTTTTTGTAGGATATTTAAACACCTTTTTAGTGGGTTAATTTTGTCCGTACGTGAGTGATGTTCTTTTGTAATTTTGAGTTTATCTGGCAGGGTGAATACTATGGACAAGAGATAAAAGAAAATATTCTAGAATCTACAAGAGATACACTTGTAAGAGAACATACTATAAAATCGAATCGTAATCTCCTTTAGAGGATATTAAGGATAATATTCGAAAGTTTTTTTTTGTTTTAACACAAACTACTTTCATTCATCAACTTTCTTGAATACAAATACAAGAGGGAATTATTCATCATCTTTAATAAAAAGCATAAGCTACAATAATAAACCAAATTAAGAAAGATAAATCTTAACAAAAAAGATGACAACAAATTCAAGACAAGGTTTGTATGCGTTAAATGGGTATGGCATAGTTGGACAACTGAAACTTAATCACATAATGTGGCGTTGAGGGCCAATTTTCACTTGCGAGACAGCACATGGTAATCTCGGTTGCATCTTCAGGCCCCGTATAGACTACACAAGATAAAAAACTAGTGATAAAGTTGAAACTAATGTTCAGCTGCAAGGCGGAGAAAAAATCTTCTTTTATGGGAAGAAGGCATGGTGGAAAAAACCTCTTTTCAAAAGACAGAAAATATTGAAACGGAGACCTTTCCGGTGAAACAACAGTTGCACTCTTCTTAATAAGATGATATTCCATTATACGCAAATTTAAGGTCCCGGTGAATCTACCAGAAATCTTTATTAAACAAACAAATACCAAAATTGTAGATTTCAATAAAATCAGTACTCCGGCGATGGATACACGGTCATCTAACGAGGGACGGTGCACTTTAGCCAGCGGCGAGTTTGGGCCACTAGAAAAGATGGGTCCTACAAACAGACAGAGCGAAAGAGCGGCACAGTGGATCTCCTCGGAATCCCGGAGAGGACCGCCAACATCTGTGTTTGTCGGGCTGGATCTTGCGGGAGAGGTCCGGGAGTAAAGAGATGGCGGAGATGGCGGATGACACTGTCGGAGAGGCGTAGATCTAGAGGTTTAGGGGTGATGGAAGCTAACGAGTATGATGGAGCAGTGGGAATCCCCCAGAAGGTCACGGATCTGGAATCCTAGACTATGAAACGAAGACATAAGCAGCAGAAACAAGTAGAAAATGGTGGTGAACAAGCTAAAGGCGATGAGTAGCAGGAAGCAGAGCAGAGGACCCGACGCCGGCAGCCAAAGGCCTCGCCGGCAGCCAAAGGCCTCACCGGCATCAAGAGAAATGTTGTGTGTTGGCTCCTTGATTCTCAAGCTCGAGAGAGAACTAGGGCGAACTCCACCTTAATATTCGAAAGATAGAAATGCAAAAAAGGGAAGAGAAACATTACAGCTAATATTCGATATACCATATGGTGCAAACAGCTAATACTATTTTCATACTTAGAGAAAATTGATTTGAATTGGCTTATATATTACTTGGAAACTAGGTGTTTTGCCCGCACATGCGGACTTAATTTTCTTATGAATATTTATTCTTTTTTGTTTTATTAATTCTAAAATAATATTATAAGTTATTTTTATAGTTTTAAAAAACCTAAATCAAAAATTAAAATATTTTTATATGAATATATATTTATTTTATGGATAATTCTTATCATTATTATTAATTTAAAACATTTATCTAATCAAATAAGTTTAATTATCTTTAATTCAATTTAAAAAACATCAAAATAAATGATTATTTGCATCCAAAAAATTCGACCTAAAACATTAAACTTTTTTACATGATGAAGTTATTTACAAACTAATTTTTCATTAGAAACTTTGAAAAATTTAAAGTCTATTTCATTTCTTCTTAATTGATAAAAAAATTTGAAAAATTGAATCGATAAATTTACATTCAAAAATTGATCTTACAGAAAGAATAACATTAGTTTAGATAATAATACAATATATTTTGATTTTTTTTTTCAAACACGTATTTTCTTAAGGTTTAACTATATAAAATATAATTATAAATTTAATTTAACGTGTGAGTTCAGAGGCGAAAAATAACTTCACAGATATATATCAATATATTATTTTATTATATTCTTTTAATTTGAAAATAATTACGTATTATAAATTTTCAGTTTTCTTTTTTTGGATTATATACAGTTAAAATATTACTTTATGAATATTTATTTATGTATTTTCAATTTTTGGATTTTTTTAATTAAAATATATTTTCCGGATAACAACACAATATCTATATAGGAATTATCTTTTTATTTTTAAATATATACTAGATTTTGACCCGCTCACCGAGCGAGTTTTAATTTCTTATATATATTTGTTTACATTATTATGGGCATATATATTTTTAATATTAATCACATATTTAAATATTTAATAATTATTATTTTGTTTTGTCAACCAAATGGTGATTTGTTTATGTATATTAATTTTAGATGATATATTGTTGTATATATATAAATTTAAGATATATTAATTTGTATACATGTAATACATAGTATGTTACCCCTTTTTGACAACATAATATATTATTTTA